CAAGTAGGGGAAAAGCGGTATTACTGTCCTTCTAATATATTTTACCATTTCACCAACCACACCATGACCACCTAACGTAGAATTTTTAATTTGATGACTAATTTCAATTATTTTATCTGTAGTTATTAATTTTTCTTCGATAGATTTATGAATTGATCCATCTATTATATCTCATGATTTGTGCTATTAAATAGCCTGATAACATTAAGCAGCTTATTAAATGGTTCTTTACAGTGATAAATTTTGTTGTCACTGGACCCTTAGAAGATGGCATGGGTTCATTTTCCTAATAATAATAATGAATAATAATCATATAAACATATTCTCTTTATCACATCATAATATAACCCATTATTATATTTATTAATAATTCAATCCAACACCATTGATCAATTGTTAGTGAGCTTGACATATTTTTTGATGAACAAATCAAAAGTATCATTTGGAAAAGGTAAACCATTAAATATATTATGTCCAATTATAACCAGATTTGTTGGTGATTCTTTTTTAAAATCATTCAAATCAATTACTATATCAATTCCAACAAATGATGATTAGAGGTTGGAGTTACTAAAATAGTCGACTAATTAGTCAACTACTAATACTACTAATACTACTAATACTAATACTAATGCTAATATTAATACTATGCTAATATTATTATTGTCTGACCAATTACGAGTTTTATGTTTTATCATTCAAAATGGAAAATTTCTATGTGGAAGAGTATCAATACCATCGATATGATGATGATGACGACAATGGTGGTGATAATTTTACATGTGTACTAATAAACACTTCCGATACAAGGTCCAATAGTTCATTGGCTTCAAGTTCCAATGATTTAAGCGGTGGTTCCAGAAGACCTTTTAAAAAAACGAATCGCAACACATGGTTTTGTGTGGAAGTATTTTGAAAAAGTGAAGATTCAAATGGAAATGAATTCGTAATTTGCAAATTAAAAAAAAAAAAAATAAGAAATATTATTATTAAAAAAAATTTTTAGTCGACTAAGGATTTTTTTTTTTGGACGATTCCAACCAACCTCTAATGATGATTTGGAAATTCCTCTGCCAGGTCCACATCAAGGGATTATTAGATTGTCATAGGAGAAGTTTGATGATTTAATTAAATATCATTAAAATCAATCAATTTGCCCAATATTACAAATGCACCACCATTCTCTAATATTCCTTTCACAGGAGAAGAAAATTTACCATTCCGTAAATGTTGTGATAAATTTCTAAAATTTCTAATCTAGACATTTACTATAAAAATAACATAAAGCTTTAGAAAGTCTAGGTGAATTAATAAATAATTAACTTACAATTTACCTTGTGATAAATGCGCAATAAATTTTCTACCATCAATAATCTCGAATGTCAAATCATCATAATCATCATCTTTTTCTTGATTTTGTTTTGCTATCATTACTAAACTTTCTTGTAATAAATTTATAAGATATTTTGAATCTACACGATTCAATTGGACCATTGTACAAATTGTTACAACATATTTCTTGAATTCTTCCTCATTTTCATACAACTGATCACCTTTTATAATATCATCATTAGAAAACATACAAGTTTTTGTAAACAGTTGTATTATGTAAACATCTTGTTCTTTCAAATCTGATATTTTAAAATTGTAGAAATGTTTTTTTAATCGTTTAATTAATTCTTGTTGGGTTATGGTCAAATAATCTTCAGTGTTGGATGTTTTGTCATTTGATGGAATATAATAATTTATCGTTCTTAGAAATTTTATCTGTAATCCCTACAATACATAATAAATAGAAAGATTAGATATACAATAATTCATAAAAAATAAATAATTTGCAAAATATTATTTGATTCAAAAACCTTAATAATTTTTAAATATTTATTTTCCACTTTTTCAAATAACTTTTCAAATAAAACATCAAAGATTTCTAAAAGACGAGAATCATGAATTGTTGATTTTTTTAAAATGTCATTGATTCCTCGCCTTTGCTTAATAGCAACTGAAGATGATGAAGATGTTGTTGGCCTTTTGATTTCTGTAATTATGTCATTTTCATTTTTTTCAAATCCATAAAGTTGTAAAATTTTAGCAATTCCATCATTAACAAGTATCTCTTCAAATCCTAAGTCACCACTATTAAAATCATCACCATCATCAGATATAACTTGAATATCAGGGAATTTCATTAATACATACATAAGGTATTCTGTTAAAGATGCTGACCAATCACAATATTTTATTGCAAACTTAATACTTTCAATATGCAATTTAAATTGTTTAAAGTTTGGTTTATTAAATTCTACAAGTAAGGGGAACCAATTTACTGGTGGAAAAACTTGATTGACATTCATAAGTGTTGAAAAAAACAATTGTGCTGATTCTATTGATATAGTAGATTCTGGAGAATTCATATATACATAGCGACTTTTACTTGAAAAAATATCTGTTACATCTGTTAATGCTACAAATAAAAATTTCAAATAGCTTGAATTAGGTAATCTAGAATAGTTTTTAGGTTCTGTGTCAGCAATATTTTTTGATACTGATTTTATTAGAACATCATTACTTTCAACTAAAAGTTTATCAACACTTTGTGTCATCTTGCCCAAAATAATAGCTGCCAGCCTTGCACCTTTCACATCTTTAATCATTATTTCTGCTGCTCCAGCAAAAACAGTACTAGATGGTGATGATGATGGTACACCTGCTATATTTTTTAATGTATCCAATACTTGATTGATCACTGTAAATGGTCTAGATTTAAACAAATATGAATTGGCCTTTTCATAAAAAAAATTGTGTGGATATATCACCCCTGATAAAGAACCTAAAGCCAAAATTGCATTCTGACGTTTTTTAGAATTAGATCCTGGTGATGAAAGAACTTCTATTTGAGAGCTCAATTGGGCATTAAATTTCTGTAAATTAGGTAATATTGCTCTTATTGGTATGATTAATAGAACAGTTTGTAATACATAACAATAAGTTTGAGTAAAATGAACATCATATCCAGTCCATTCTCCCTATAATAAATAATAATAATATAAATATTCATATGTGTGTGTGTGTGTGTGTGTGTGTAATTAAAATTATACCTTTGATGTGGTAACACTTGTTAATTTTTCAAAAAGTTCAATAATATTTTCATCATATCTTTCAAATTTTGAAAATGCAACAAACCAAGCTGAACCTAAAATCCGCCGCTTATGATCATTTTCAACTTTTCCATTTAACTCGACAAACTTTTTTAAATCAGATAATGCTTTTTGATAAATTGTCTTGACTTCTTTAACTTCTTCATGATTAACCCCTGATAATCCAAGCATAAAACCTAAATATGAATCAATCAATAATACTGGTGATTCTGTTTCTGGGTTATTATTTGATTGAAAAAAATATTCTTCAAGGAATTGAATTGTTTGTGAACAATTATTTTCCATTTCAGGAGTTCTAGTGGGAAATGATGCCTGTTGAAATAAAATAACCCCTATAGCATAACCTGCTCCAAATAATGTCCAAACAAATATTGAGCTTAATATAAACATATAAAGATATATTTATATTAATATTTATAATAATATATTATCTTTTTACAAAAGAAAAATTTTCTTTACCTCTTATCATCATCAATTAATTTTGAAACCAACAAATTAATAATTTCTTGTGTAAATCTTT